TAACGATGAGATCATTAAGCCGTCGGTTTTGCAATCAGGAAAGAAATTCTGGAAGGGCATGCGCACAAAAAAATTCCCAGCTGTAAGACCACGACGGAAGGGAAGGGTGAGAGGTACGTCAACCATTTTTTTTCGTCCGTACTTTTTCATTTGTAGGCTGGAGGATCCCTCCTGGAAGTGACAACTCCATAATGTCGCATTACCCACAACCCCAGTCCGTGGACACTCCCTTTAATAAGAAGGTGATGAGTGCCTCCATGATTAACTATCCTAGATTTCCAGCCGTTCAGTTCTATTCCAATGATTGTGTAACTGAAGTAGGGCTTTTTCCTTCAGAGTTCCTACTGCAGTACCACACTGATTCGAACGTAAATCAAAGCGACATCCACCCGTTAGGGTATTTTGTCCGCGATTTCCTTTTTTCTGCTGTAGAAACACAGAAGCCAAAAGTATTACAGAAGGTTCACCAACCTGATCAACCCTAGTTCCAACGACCGTGCGATAGTGCTGTAGGTTCGCGACGGTGTGATTCATGTAGTTTGTATTCGATTCATAATCGCTGACGTACTCCATATTGATGACACCAAGCTGGAAAGAAAACCACTTACCTGAGGATGAGGGGGTTGGAAGGCTTCTTAGCACCAAAAACTTCATTTGCCCTGATTAGACTTCATGCCCACTAAGCAGCGAATTCAACTGTCAAACAAATTTTTCTCAGACCAAGTACGAGCCCTCCCTCACCTCCCCCCAGCAAACAAATACGACCCCTGTTGGGAATTCCCAACGATGAGGTGCCCTGATCTAACGTCCCGTGGTTTTTTAGCCGCGATCTCCAGTCCTGCCCCTCGATTTTTACAATACACTCACCAATCCATCACACAGGCAATTGCTGCCGATTCATGGGCCAAAAGTCGGACCCACCGGGCGCGGCATTTCCGAAGCCCCCATCCGTCCGCTTCCCCGTGCGACATCGGCTTCCCTAGTTCAACACGCTTCACCGAGCGCCCCTCTTTTGACCCACTCCAGCCTCCAATGGCTCTCTGTTCTGCTCAGCTACGCCTTGACAGCACTCACACATTCAAACGTGATGAGCCGCGTTAGCTCGATACGGCCATGTGAACCGCAGCGCTTGAAGACTTTTACAGAGTCTATTAAGCATCACAGCTTGAAACTTGTAAAAAGCCTTCAGCCTTGCGGTTCACTGCCGATATCGGCTAACCGGCTCATCACGTTGAACGTGTGAGTGCTGTAAGGCTATGGCACAAATAGCCATTGAGCTGAGTGGTCAAAAGTGGCCTCGGTAGCGTAATAGGGAACGCATTCGCACGGAAAGCAGAAGATGCGGGTTCGAATCCCGTCCGTGGTCCGACTTTTGCCCATAACTCAGCATTCTTGTGATAGCTTTCGGATCGCGTACTGCGGCGTTAAACAGCAGTTAACAAACAATATCAGTTTGAAACTCACCACCATCGTCAGAGGTATGCAGTAGCCCAGTGCGCACATAACATAAGCTGCTGATGTAGGAAATCTTAAGGTCCGAATAGCGATACATCGAAAAACCATTGACAGCATAATGGAAATAAACGAGTTCACTGATAAATGCACTGAAAAATGCTATTCAATGTTTAGTTAGAACAACGGAAATCTTCCAATGAGCTATTCTTATCCCCTGTTTTTTTTGCTCCCTCTTATTCATAACGAACTCACGCATTGTAATCATCAGCATGTAGCACACCCAAGGTCCAAGATACTGGGCTGGTCCAAGGTACACGACGACGATCCGCATCTCGTGCGAGAAAATCCTTCAATGTCATTAATGGGTGACTCAAAAAGTGGACGCTGTCTGCCTTGTGAAAGGCATTTTGCACTTTCGCTACTTTTTTCAGCTTCATAGGTCTACATGAATTACTTGTCACACCGTGGTGAAGGACTGTAGACTCCTGTTAGAAGTAAGCAAAGCTTGTGTTATTGCATAAGACACTCCACAAGGGGCACCGGTATGATCGAATCAACAAAATGCCCCCACCAAGCAGGAATGCGACAAAGGGGTAGTTTGCTGACGGGGGAGCATTTCACACTTTCGCTACTTCCCATCCACGTGACG